GGTGAATGTTGCGAAGCATCGTCTGGTTAGTCTCGTGTTCTTAGAATAGATAAAAAGCGAGGTTTACAACTAGTATCCGACAGGGATGTGATTGTACCGTGTTATTTATCTTGCACGATAACCATTTGGGGTTTAACTATACTCGCTTTCACTGGTTAACAAAGAATATTATCGTACTGATTAAATGTCTCTCTAGCAGTCGTAGCAGTCATGTTGGATATCGTATAACATTTAATTAAATAGGTATACTTGAATTTCAAATTGTCCGTTTATTCTATCGCTATATTTCATGTAAATATATCTAAATATTATACATTTTTATATATTTAACTTTGGAATACGTCAATAACATTAATATGTTTTTAATACTTAATTTATATAAAATTGTGTATTGCTTATTAGAATTCTGTCAAGAGTTGTACAACTTAATTCATAATTATATTTTAGTAATTTTTCTGTCTAAGGTTAAGATAAAATAAAACAAAAAAGTACCTTATATTATATTATTCAAATTGATGATTTTTATAACTTTTTTACTCTTTAAGTCATGTTTCTAAATAAAATAAAATTAGGTTAATATTTTCCAGTTTTTGTTTATTTATTACACTAAATTTAATCGAATGTTTTCGAGGTTTGCTAAAAATTAATAAATACAATTTATTTAGTTGTATTTTAAATAATTTAAAAAATAAATTCTATAAATAATTGTTTTTTATCTTAAGAATTCATAAAAAGAAATTCTTTATTTCTTTTTTTTTTTTTAATATAAAATTATTAAGACGTTGTATTAAGTTTTAAAAAATTCTCGTATTATCCAACTTTAAGCATGTGAGTAAATTCATGACTATACTTATAATATTATGGGTAAATAATTATTTATTGGGACCATAATATTTTATCATGAAAGTTTTTGCTAACTTAATATTAATAACAAATGTTTTTTACATTCTAGATAATATCTAAGAAGTACATTTAGTTATTATCTACAATAATTCATTTTTAATTATTTGAGTTAGTTTGAAAATATCTTAAACTATAAAATTAAACAAGTAATCAGTGTTTTTATGTAGTTTTTTTCAATAACACTAGTGTTTAAACTAAAAATTTGTATTGCACTTGTTTGAAAAGTTGGAATACTATACTAGATTTAAGACTGGTGAATAGTATCACATTTTTTGTGTTGAATGTCAAAACTGTCTGACTTACTATCAAGAAGATAAAATATACGTATATATATATATATATTTATCAAACAGCTAGTTTGTGATGGGAGAAACTTATAAGTTCAATTACTGAAAGATTGAAATGAGAAATATATGATTGTAAACAATCCGAACTCTCTTCTCAGTAAGGGTTGTAATCAAACTACTTGTATATTTGATGTTCATTTCGATAAATATTCTGTTGATGATTCTTATGACTTTTTATTATGTTAATATTATTACACTATTTTGCATAAAGACGTTTTTATTTGAATTATTTTCCTTATATTTAAAAGACTAAATTTTAAATATTTACTTTTATTTATTTATTAATTTTTTTAAATATTGATAAATTATTTTTAAGTTTTTAGAATTTTAAAAATTAGTTAATATTTTATGTATTTTTATTTTTATTTTTTTTTATTTAATGCAATGATATATTATTTCTATTATTATGTATATTATATATATATATATATAAATGTAATTATGGACAAAGATGTCTGGGTCAATGAAGAAAAACCGATGGTACATAATATAAACACTCAAACCTTTAATTTATGAATACTATTTTGCTGATTTATTTTTAATTTTATTCTATTAATTTAAAAATTAAAAACCTAACACTGCGGCGTTTCTACTCATCTTAATTTTTATTTTAGTTATTCGTATTACAGTTATTAATAACAAATAGACATTTGTATTTTTAATATAGGATTTCTTTTTTCCATATGATTTCCAACAATTTTTATAACATCTTTAAAGTTTTGACATTCATTTGAACCTGATTTTGTTTAAATCCAATAATTTCAAGTTGAACAACTATTTCAAAAAGAACTTGTTTTTTGATAAGACAAATTCATTGTTTTCGGTTTTTTTTTCTGAAATTTTGTTGTGTTTTATTTTATTTTTTGATTGATTTTACATAAGATAGTCATTTACATTTTTATGCATATATATATATATATATATAAACTTATAATTTTTTACTCTTGTAAAGGGACTAATTATTATAATATAATTAAACTTCGTGATTTAGAAGCATTAAGTTAAAATTATAATTGAAAGCAAAATTTATTTTCATAATTTAGAAATTAATTTCTGTAAAGGTGGCACTGACGTTTAATGTTTTTTTTTTTTTTTAATATACATTTTTTTATTACATGATCTATGAAAAAAAAAATACAATAAAGGTAAGTATTTAATCGCTTTAGTATGAACATAAATTAAAAGACCTTCCAATGAAGGCACTTTGTTGTGGATGGGCATTTAATGTAGATAAAATTTCAAAATAAATATCAATATTTTTCTACAAATGTAGTAATATTTTGTTATGTTATTTTTAAAATTGCCATCATCGACTTGAAAATAAACATTTTTATTTTTATTAATTTCTTCATGTTCTTTTTAAGATTTCACATATTAATAAAACATCATGGTTATTCCAAAATCTATTATTTTTCTTAAATAATGGGATGAGTGATTTATTTTAATATTTGACTTGTATCATTTCAGTGAATTATCAAAAAATGAATCTATATGCTACAATAAAACCAAGGCGGTAACCCCCCATATTCTCTTTCAATTTAACGAAGATTATTCATTATACGTATAATTAAAGCTAGGAGTAATATAAAATTTTAAAAGGCTGGTAATTGGGTACCACTATTTTCTGTATAGTATATGTCATGTAATTCATTGTAATGAATGTGTTAAATTTTAATTTAATAAATGATTAATCATGCGGATTTTCAACCAACATTAATAAGTTTATTTCAAAATTCTATTTATTGATATTGCTTCAGAAGTAATTTATTTTACTATTGGTATTACAGTAAGTTGATTAAATTGTTCCTAAAAATATTGCGTTTATATATTAATAGTATTTAATTATTAAAGTAATATACATTTATACCATAGTATATTAATGTAATTAACTTTTGAGTCAATAAAACTAGTAAAAAAAATGTGATTGGGTTCATAGTATAAAACTATAAAAAGGTAATATCTTAAATCAATCTACATATTTTGAAAATAGCATTATGTATATTAAAATTTATAATGTTTGTAAAAGTTTAAGCCCCTATTAATAATATTTTTGAACTAAAACAAAATAATTAATATCGCTATTCATTGTTAAAATATGTTATGTAATTTTGTCTTAATTTGAATTTTAAATTTCTTTGAAAAATAATTATGCCTACCTGCCCTACCTATGTACTTTTAGTATTTTTATATAATCAAATTGATATAACTGCAAATTGTAAATGTAATTTTTAACATAAGATAAAAACCTATGTTGATGAGCAACTGAAATTATTAAAATTACATCTCTATGATAAAATTAAATAACTTAAGATGCTATTTAATTTTGTGTTAATTAATTTTTGTTGGGGTTATAAATTTATTTAAGAACCGTCTATATCTGTTAAAAATAATAATTTATTGGCTTAATATAGATGTTCAAGTGTTTATAATTTTATTTTGAATTGAAGTAAGAATTTGCTAATATTTTGTTATTTTTTGTATTTTTTTTTTTTAATATTATAAATTTTAGATATGCTTATCTGACGTTTACAAATCATCCTGTTAACGTTTGGAAATGCTGTTTGAATATTATGTGTGAATTTCATCAACGATATCCCTCGGGGAAAGAAGGTCGGGAAACACTGGTAATTTCGTTCCATAGAATTGATGTGAAACTCGTTTTGCACCAAACAATGTGGAAATTCCATCAAATCACATTAGATGACGAATGCCACCATCGAAGGGCGAGGAAAAGAGAAAGAAGGGTGTAGTATTCATGTATTTTTGATGCTACGTAATAATAGGAAAATGTTTCCAATGGAAGCTGTAGCTACTCGTATATGTAGTATTGAGATATATATGATGGGTGTGTTAAAGATGAAAAATGTGAAATATCTGAAATGTTTTTTATCTTAAAAATGACGCTAGTTAAATATAAACTAGTTGGACATATGAAGTCGGATTAATAAAATATTCTTAAGTACCTATATTGTTATTATAACATACTTAATATTTTTCAAAAGATAAATTTTTTTTTTTAGGATATTAAAGTTTTTAATTTTCTCTATAATTTATGATTATAATTAGATTATCAGATTAATAATTTTATTTATAGTTTCACAAAGGTTTATGAAAAAAAAAAAAAAAAAAAAAAAAAAAAAAAAAAAAAATAAAAAAAAAAAAACAAACATTAACTGATAATTATTCTTTATTTTTATAAATTAACTAACATGCATTTGCCTGCAATATTTGTTATTGATTGGTACATTAAATATATTCACAATTTCAATAGATAGAAAAATCGAAGACTTTATCTAAACTATGATAGTATGTGGTTTTGAGTTGTGGTCAAATGCCAACTCTAGGGATTTCATTAATACATAAGAGTAAAAATAAATTGCTTCATGGTAATTATTGAGATTAATTAATTAATCTAACTTATATTATTTGTGTTAAAACTGTATTCAATCTATATTATATTTTCGTATTAATGGTTATGTACTAATATAATATAATAAATAATGATTAATATGGTAATTGGTAGTATTATTTGATTTAAAACTATCGCATTATTTTTTTGCAGGTAATCATGTATTTTTTCACGTTTAAATTTGAATATAAATCACTCTACCATTTTATACTCTTACCGTTCATAATTAACATTTATTTTTAAATTAGATCATAAATTAATATCGTTATTAATATTGAATTTGGAATTATTACATAATTTTATTTTATATTTAATACATAGTTAATTTTGTTTTATTTCAGCAATCGTCTTATGGAGGTTCCCCATCACCAGATCTAATGTTAAAAGAAGGAAATCTTAGACGGGTAAGTGTTTATATGAAAATACTTAGAACATTTAAGATGAAATGGTTCGATATGTTATAGAAAAGTATATTTTTTTACCGGAATGGGAAAAAAAATATTTGTATTAACATACCTTAGAGGTGAATTATTGCTCTCTATTATCTTCTGTACTATTACCCAATGATTTGAAAACATGGTATTTGTGATTAATTTGAAAATAATAAAATATATATTTATAATAATACTTACGTCAGATTCTTTTGTCATTCGAATCTTATTTGCTTTTCTGCTACTATAACCACATTGTTGGAACATACTATATAGAAAATAAATTGTTTATACAATTTATACTTTCTTGTGAAAAATACCAGTATTTGGTATTCTACCTATATTGTAGATAGTTCTTCCATGATTTAAAAATATTTTCAAAAATAATGTTACTATCTCTTGATGTTTTTATTGAAAACTCGTGTAAATATTTTTAGTTAGTTTGTATTTAATTTATATAACATTATTTATGTGATTAACACTATTATAGTTAAGCATAATTATTTGTGGTATGCATAATATAGTAACACATGTCGTTATTTTCTAAATCGAATCCTTTTTTTGCTTACAGTTTTTTATTCACAATAATAACGTTATTGAATTATACTGGATTATCTTATCCATTTTTTCCATGCAATTAACTTACCTACTTAAAACCATGACAACTAATTATAAATAAATATAAAATTGACATAAATTATTAATTATTAATACTTCTTATATTTATATAATACATTTTTATTTTTTATTTTATATTTAATTTAATTATTAAAGTATTTATGCGTAATTAAAAAAAAAATATCTATTGTATTTTGTTGTTTGTTTTTAATATGTTTCGATATATAGACAGAAACATCAGTTTTTCATTTAACTTGTTCGTGCTTTTATAAATTAGATTTTTTATTCCATATTTTCCTTTCTTATAAAAAGAAATGTTACTAGTAAATTTATTTCCATACTGTAAAGTTTTTTTACTATGCTATTTATTCATTTATGGTATTTTAAAATTTCAATCTCTAAAACTTTCTCAACATTTTATAACGAATTACGTTCACGCATATTTCACTGTACAAAAGATGAATTAAAATACGTTTTATTATGTATTTGAAGTTACATAGGGTAAAATAGTCACAAGGCATAACTGAAGTTTAAAAATAATTAGGTACCAATGTGTTTCCTATATATACAATCATTTAAATAACTATTGTATGCTAAAAGCAATCTTTTTGTAAGATAATACTAATCTGGGTTAGGTTACTAAGACAAATGGTGAATAATGTGAAAATTAAACGATTTCAATTTTATAGCATCTAGCAGTATAATAAATATACATTAATTAATCGTTTTTATTCCTCAATTTATATGTTATACTTGTTTAAATATTACTAAAAATTATGTTCGGAATTTGAGTATTTAAAACTTTACAGCTATGAATGTTATAATTCTTGAATAAAATATATTTTAGATAAACTTTTATACATATCAATATTTTTATGATTTTTGTTTTTTCTTTAGTTCAATAAGTTGTGTTCATTTATTTATGGTTTTTTTTTTAAATTCCTCAATTTGAATTAAACTGTTATGTAATTTATAAATTATATTTTGTCTGTAATAATAACGTAGATTTATTGCATGAACAGGATTTCATTGAATTTATAAAAAATGCTGTTTTATAAATACTTAACGTTGTTTAAAAGTTTTCGTATAATATTATTCCAGTAATATATTTTGTATTATATTTTAAAACAATAATATTAGCTCATTAATAGATCTATTCACAACATAAATTTAATCATATATTTTTAATTTTTTGTCAAATTGAGTTAATTTTATTTTTAAAGTCATTAACAAAAAAATTAAAGTCAGATAAGAGCATATTGATAAACATTTCATTAAGTTCAGTTAAAATTATTTATTAGTGTTAAAAATCAGCTCATGAATATTGTTTTTCTGAAATATACTATTTGTACACGCTCTCGTATAATACAAACTATCATATTGTGCCATTTAACCAAGTGATGCTGAAAGAATATATGTATAGAAAGTTCAAAATTTTAATGTTTGCGGTTTGTGTATTAAACCTAATTTTTTTGTTTTGTTTTCAAGCGTCGCTGTCACGTCTAGTTTTCCTGCCGCAGATGTGACAGTCTCGATGTATACAATTTGTTATTGTAATGATGAGCATCCTTTCCAGCATATTTAGAGCTGTATACATTTACTCACTGCACCCTCACGTCATACGTCTTATATATAATATAAATATATATTGAGAGACAGTAGCGTTAGAAGTATATATGTATGTAAAAATATGTTTTGAGTATTGTGTATGCATTTTAAATTATTATAACTCGTCGGTTTTGGGAGGAAATATTATACAAAGTAATTTACCAAGTATAATCACTACTATTTTTTTCTTTAAATGGATTTATTTAAATTCTGATGTTAAGAATTTAAAGTTTACTTAATTGCACTATATTTTCAAACATTGATTTTGTATACAATTTAAGGACAATCGAATCTTGTACTGATAGCAACTCCTTTTTGCAAACGAGAATCCCCCATTTTCGTGTAAATTCTTAAACTTGGGACGATGGTGATTTTAAAATTCTAGTAATTAATATTTACTTATTACATTTTTATATTTTAATAGTATTGCGCGATTATACTAAATACTGATCCAATATTAATACCGTATTTTATATTTTTATAAACTCATTTTTAAGAACTATTTATAGACTTTAATAAATACATTTTAATAACTTAGAATTTACTCTTTCGAATTTTGATTTGGATATACATATACAATATACACATTAAAAAAAAAAAAAAAATCATAAACTTAACAGTTTATACAGTAAACAATATGGTTTATATTTGAAAAAAAAAAGTTTGATTACAGAACACTCTTTGAATGAAATAAAAATCTAAATACAGTCGAATTCGCTTATTACGATACGGTATATAGCGATATTCCAGGTAAAACAATTCCAAGCAATGTATTTGGTTAGTTTTACATCTTATGTGTAGTACTTTTAGTCGTATATAACGATATCGGTTACAACGATAATCCGTATATAGCGATGTTATTTTGAAATGAAAATGGGTTTTTATATTCGCCTATAGTAATTAATCATACATGTACAAGAAGTAAATTTGATTTCGTTCAAAGCAATAATTCTTAATCGTATCTGTAACAGATAATGTGTCTTGTATGACACGTATATTATATACGGCATATTTATTTAAAGTACCGTCAATTTCGGAAATTTATTTTTATATTGATCAGTTGCGTACTTTTGTTTCGGTAAACAGCGATATAAATACGCCAGAAGTGGTTAATGGTATTAAGAAATATTTCTAATTTTGTTAAAAATTGTAATCAAATTATAAACAAAGCACTATAATAGTTTATTTTTCAAACAAATCGTAAACATATATTATGTACTATGCATGCGTATACTTTTATTAAAAATAAAAAATACCTTTAATGTTAAAATATGTAATTTTAAATAAAATAATACTAGTAATGACTGTAATGTAATCACTAGTAATGGTGAGCCTAGTAAATCACTTTTTATATAAACATGTACCTTCTATCTTTATTAACCCAAATATATAATATATATATATATTTATTAATGATATTTTATCGAACTGTTAGTCATTAAATTACTATGTGAAAATCGTTCTTATGACATCATATATATATTATATAAAGTTTAGTATAGGTGCCAATTTACCACTTTTCGTTGTCACTGTCGTACTACCGTCGGGTGGCAAGAGGTGAAATTTTCTATCGATAAATCAACCGCCGGAAGCTGGTCATTTTAAATCGTTCGATTGGCAAAAACTCCTATATTATTATATATCTTTGTCCAAACGATTATCGAAGCGCCGCCAAGTATCTATACGGATTTAACACGATTGAGCATAAAATACTTTTTTTGCGATATGATTGAGCATAAAAAACTATGCAACATTGCCATTTTTAATTTTGAACTGTTTTATACAAAAAATATTTATTCAAATAATTATAATAATTAAAAATATAACCTGTCATGATTTCATAGTCAATATGTAATAACCTATGTAGTTACATTATAATAGTATTTAGATTGTTTAATAATAATAATAATAATAATAGTTATGACATGAAAATAATAAAATTAAAATATTTATAAATCCATAACAGTCTCAATAGTAGTCACATTATATTATATAAAAGTATATTTGATAATAATAATAAATTATATTATTATACCTTGGTATCTGTTTCCAAGTTGGTTTAATTATTTTAATAAAGATTCCGTATTCTTACGATTTAAATATTGGTCAAAAGCTTGAATATTAAATTCTATTTTTTTAATTTCTTTAGCGGATTGTAATTTTATAGATTTCTTTTGAATTGATTTGATCTTTATCAACGTTTCTGTTTGTGTTTCGATCAATACCCTAACAACTACATGGACATGAGGTCATGAGGATGAGGCGAATAAATTTGTACATTGTACGTTCGATGGAAGCTTTCAGTTGAATTAGTCGTTCTAAAAAATAAAATAAAATAATAGTAATTAGTAAAAAAGTTTTTAAAATAATTTTTAAGAAATATTGAAAAAACCTTAGGTTTGCCGAAGGAACTTCAGCCCAAATATTAGGAGGAAATTGGTAGTGATTTTCAATATAGGTGTAGAATGTAGTCAGAAAATATAAAACCATCATCAATTGGACAAAGTGATATTAATAATATCGTATGGTACTATTATCGTCGTAGCGGATGATTAGACGTTTTGTCTTTCTAAATGTTACATAATAAAACACAATATAGTAACATAGTATAGGTATTTAATATTATTAGGTATTGTATTTGTAACACATATATCTAGCTCTACACACATCATTTACCATTGTAAAATGATTATATCATGTTTTAATTACTTAAAATACTTATAAAATGATTAATATACATGATATTA